GACAATGAGCAACAGAGAAAGAAATTGGCCGTTGACAGCAGTGGATCAACACCAACCGCCGCAGGTACAAGTCAATTGACACCAGCCGCCACCAAACCGGAATCACTTGAACCCATCGAAAAGCATCACTGCGATACGGTTATTAATTTCCTGTTCCGTCTGTCGTGTCAAGTGAATGATACATCACCAACACCGGGAGCCATGACGCCTGGTGAAAATCTATCACGTCGTTGTGTTGCTCTCTTGAAAATGGCACTGAAACCAGAAGTGTGGACGCAACCGATCGACTTGAAATTGCACTGGTTGGACAAGGTGTTTAGCAGCGTTGAAAGTTCACAGCCAAACTATGGAAATATTTGCACGGGCCTGGAGCTGTTGACATTCTTGCTCGGTGTTTTGAAGAAAGAACAAATCCTATCCATTTTCCGTCCATTACAAAAGGGTTTATCAGCTTGTGTAACATGCTCAAATACACGAGTAACACGGCTTATGCATGGATTATTATCACGGTTGATGGGTCTATTCCCCACCGACGCATTCCACAAACACGAAGAACTCGAAGTGTTGTACGCAACCATCAGTAAAATGATCTTTGAAGGGTTGGCCACATTTGAAAAGAGTCCACAAGCAAATCCATCATCATTGTTCGGAACGTTGATGATTTTGAAAGCCGCCTGCATGAATAACCCAAGTTACATTGATCGATTGATGATGCCATTCATGCGATTACTGAATCGATTGACCAAGGAACATTTAACTGGATCACCACAACATCAAGCCGCTCAACAAGCCGATGGCACGAACAGTGGTTCACTTGCACTAGAATTGCTCATCTTGTCATTGGATCTGGTGAAGAATCGTGTGGTGGTGATGGGCGTTGAAATTCGTAAACTTTTCATTGGCGGCATTTTGGTCGGCCTCATCGAAAAGAGTTCCGAGGTCAAAGTGATGAAAGCCATCGTCAAAATCATCGAAGACTGGATGAAGAACAAAAACAGCAGTGTGACTGTAACACAGGCGCCAACATTACGTGAAAAATCGATTCTATTGGTAAAATTGATGCATTACGTTGAAAAGCGATTCTCCGACGATCAAGAACTGAATGCACAATTTTTGGAGCTCATCAACTACATTTACCGCGACGATCAGTTGAAGCAATCGGAATTGGTATCGAAATTGGAATCGGCATTCTTGAGTGGATTGCGTTGTAATCAGCCAACGATTCGAGCGAAATTCCTGGAAATATTCGATGGTTCAATGCGACGCCGGCTACACGATCGATTGCTTTACATCGTTTGCTCACAGGCCTGGGATGCAATTGGCCAACATTACTGGATCAAGCAATGCATTGAACTCTTGATTTTGACATCAAACACTTCCACTCAAATTCGAATTGCAAATGATACGCATTTGTTGCCCAGCATTTCATCGGTCATCAACCTGACCGATTCGGAGGAGAAAAAAGACTTTGTAATCTACACACAAATGCACAACGATCAACCAGATGTATTCGATAATATCGAAGATAAAGAGGATAATTTTGATATGGACATGAATGTTGATTTGAATATTTCACGCCGTGAAGAAAGTGAACGTCCGATAACCAATCGAAACGCGGCCCTAGTCAAATTGATAAGTCGCCAAGCGGAGTTTTTGGAAGCAAATCGAAAAGTTCGCACTGAACAATTCCTTGTGGCCACTGCACAATTGTGTCACATGGATACATCACTGGCTGAAAGTGTATGGCTGTCGGTATTCCCACGAATGTGGTCGATTTTAGATGAAGGTCAACAACAATCGCTCGTCCGTGAGATGGTACCATTTTTATCATCCGGAACGCATGTCGGCCAAAAGGATTGTCATCCAACGGCAATCAATACATTTGTCGAAGCATTGTCACGATGCCAGCCACAGGTTCATTTACCGCCAAATCTAATGACATACCTTGGCAAAGCGCACAATTTGTGGCATCGAATGACACTGATGCTCGAGGACACGTGCAACGAATGGCCCAACAAACAAGAACAATTGGCTGAATACTCTGATCCAGATCACATCACCGATTACGGTTCTGGCGAGATGAGCAAAGCGGCTATTTTCGATCCATTATCACAAATGTATTCCGCTTTGCATGAAGAAGATTTATGGGCTGGTCTGTGGTTGAAATATGCAAAATACCAGGAAACCAATCAAGCCATTGCCTATGAGCAAATGGGATTCTTTGAAGAGGCACAAGGTGCATACGATTTAGTCATGACAAAATACAAACAAGAAGCAGCCAGCGGACCAACACCGATCGATATGAACAGTGAACTTCAGCTGTGGGAAACGCATTGGTTGCGCTGTGCAAAGGAGCTCAATCAATGGGACATCATTTTGGATTACGCAAAAATGCACAAGGACAAAAAGTCATTTTTGATAATGGAAAGTGCATGGCGCGTTCCAGACTGGGATGTGATGAAACAAGCACTGAACCGCGTCGAACACGCAAGCCCCAAAAAGGATGGATACAAAGTGAATTTGTATCGTGGATTTTTGGCCATTCTCAATCCCGACGAACAACATTTGGCATCCGTTGAACGTTACGTTGAGATAGCGTCCGTGTTTTGTATGCGTGAATGGCGTCGCTTGCCACATATTGTGTCACACATTCATTTGCCGCTTTTGCAAGCCGCTCAACAGATTATGGAATTGCAGGAAGCGTGTCAAATTCATCAGGGTTTGCTACAAAGCCGCATTTCATCGTTGCATGACATGAAAGCTATCGTGAAGACTTGGCGCAATCGATTGCCAGTCGTTGCCGATGATCTATCACATTGGAGTGACATATTTACATGGCGTCAGCATCACTATCAAATAATCACTTCACACCTGGAAAAACAGCCCGATGTTGTGACGAACAGCAATCAAAGTATGCTGGGCGTTCATGCTTCGGCACAGGCCATCATTCATTTCGGTAAAATGGCACGAAAACACGGTTTGACCGGAGTGTGTCAGGATACGTTGTCACGGATTTATACCATTCCATCGGTGCCAATTGTTGATTGCTTCCAGAAAATTCGGCAACAAGTCAAATGCTATCTGCAAATGGCCGCGATCAGTGGACGCGGCGAATTGGCCGAAGCGCTTGAGGTGATCGAATCGACGAACTTGAGATACTTCTCACGTGAAATGACCGCTGAATTTTCCGCATTGAAAGGATTATTGTTGGCACAGAGTGGCAATTCGGAGGAGGCGAACAAAGCATTCAGCGCAGCCACACAAATGCATGACACATTGATCAAGGCATGGGCATTATGGGGAGACTATTTGGAACAAATATTCACAGTAGAATCGCGGCAAATGCATTTGGGTGTCAGTGCGATTATTTGCTTCTTGCACGCATGTCGACATCAAAATGAAAGCAAATCGAGAAAATACTTGGCCAAAGTACTTTGGCTACTTTCGTATGACGATGAACAGTCTTCACTTATGGAAGCCCTTGATAAATACGCCGTTGGTGTGCCACCACTTCATTGGCTGCCATGGATTCAACAGCTACTTTGCAGTTTGGTTCAGTACGAAGGGACGGCCATTTTGAACTTGTTGAGCCAGGTGAGAATACATGTTTCATTTTTGTTTATCCGCGTTGTTTTCTACAAATTTTTTTTTTTCAATTTTAATCCTATCTTAAATTGTTGAAATTGAAAAAAAAATCGAATTGTTCTTTAAAAATTCAGGTTGGTCGAATGTTCCCACAAGCTGTCTATTTCCCCATTCGAACGTTGTACCTAACGTTGAAAATTGAACAACTTGAAAAGGCGAGAACGACAAAGAAAGCCAGCGATAAACCGAACGGAGCTGAAGGTGGTCAACCACAAAGCACGAACCCAAGACCGATCCGTGCCACACCACCAATGTGGCGTTGTTCGAAAGTGATGCATGTTCAACGTGAAATTCACCCGACCATTTTGAGTGCGTTGGAAGGAATCGTCGATCAAATGATATGGCTCCGTGAAAATTGGTACGAAGAAGTGTTGAGGCAATTGCGACAGGGTCTCATCAAATGCTATGCCATAGCGTTTGAAAATCGTGGCACAGTCAATGAGGCGAAAATCACACCGCACACGCTGAATTTCGTCAAGAAATTGATTGCAACATTTGGCATTGGAATTGAGAACATTTCGAATTCGGCGGCATCGACCGATGCCAAAGATCCGTTGGCAAAGCGAGCTCAAGCCACCGTACAAGATCCAGTGTTCCAAAAGATGCGTGGACAATTTTCCATTGACTTTGAATTCTCACAGCCCGGCGCAATGAAACTGCATAATTTGATATCAAAACTGAAGAAATGGATCAAAGTGTTGGAGGCAAAGACAAAACAATTGCCAAAATCATTCCTAATCGAAGAGAAATGCCGATTCCTATCGAATTTCAGTCAGAAAACAGCTGAAGTTGAATTACCGGGCGAACTATTGTTGCCACGCCATTCACACTATCACATCCGCATCGCGAGATTTATGCCACGCGTGGAAATTGTTCAGAAACATAACACAGCCGCTCGTCGTTTGTTCATTCGCGGAACAAATGGCAAGGTCTATCCATATTTGGTGATTAACGATTCTGGATTGGGCGATGCACGACGCGAAGAGCGCGTTTTACAGTTACTTCGAATGCTCAATCACTATTTGGCCAAACAAAAAGAAACATCACGTCGATTCTTGCACATAACCGTACCACGAGTGGTTGCCGTTTCACCACAGATGCGACTAGTTGAAGATAATCCAAGTAGTTTATCACTTCTCGATATCTTCAAGAACGGTTGCGCCAAGCTTGGCATCGAACATGACGTGCCATTGGCACGGTATTACGAACGATTGGCCGATGTACAAGCTAGAGGCTCACAGACAACACACACAGTATTACGTGATATCCTACGAGAAGTTCAAACATCCATGGTACCGAAAACCATTTTGAAAGATTGGGCCATCAAGAATTATACCTCTGCCACAGACTACTGGCAATTCCGTAAAATGGTAAGTTATTGACAGAGAGACAATTGAGTTTTCTTTTATTCGTTCATAATTTCTATAGAAACTTTTCCAAAAATTCCTAATCATTCTCAATCGTTTCCAATTTCAGTTCACATTACAATTATCATTGGCATGCTTGTGTGAATATGCTTTGCACTTGACGGCAACCAATGCCGATATGATGTACATCCACCAAGACTCTGGTCTCATAAATATTTCATACTTTAAATTTGACATTGACGAAGCGACCGATGAGCTGGGCGCTAATCGAGCCGTTCCATTCCGATTGACACCGAATATCGTTGAATTTTTGTCAAACATCGGCATAACCGGACCATTGACGGCATCGGCCATTGTAACTGCACGCTGTTTGGTTCAACCCAATTTCAAAGTAAGTGTTTTTCTTTCAATTTCTTTTTAATTTCTCTGAAAATGGGATTTCAACCGAAAAATGGATGTAAAAACAAAAACTCGAAAACTTTGTCTTGAAATCGATGTTAATGCTGCGTCTATATGTCTCTTTTCAGTTGCCAACAATACTGCGAGCAATTTTGCGTGATGAAATCATCGCTCTGCACAAGAAGCGTTTGAAGGATGAGAAGATGCAACAGGAGGCCAACGGCGAAATCAATCCGGAGAGTCCATCGAACGATGAGATCAAAGTGAATGTGGAAAGCATTATTGTGTTTGTCAACAAAGCGGTCAATTCAATAATGGGCCGGCTCAACAGTATTTCATATTTTGACAATGTCGAAAATAACAAAATGAGCACACTCGTTCAAGCTGCTCACAATCCAGACAATCTCTGTCGCATGGATCCTGCTTGGCATCCATGGGTGTAAACAACCACCGCAACCATTTTATATCTCTACACGATGAATGCGCGACCGCGATGAAATCACGAAATTACTTTTTACTCTTTTGAAATTAAATTCATGTTTTTTAATAGGAAAAATTGTTCGACAGCTATGTAACGTACTCTAATTCAAATTGGATACTTATTCCAAAAACTTTTTAAAAAAAATTGAATGTTGTAAATAAATAAACTTGATGAATAAAATATAATCAATTAGTGAGATAAGCAGAAAAGAAAATTCTTCGAAAAATACAAATTCGTGTGATTTTTCCCTTTTTCTTTCAAATAAATATTATTTCATTCAGTAATTTTTTTCTTGCTTAATATATGTATTAGGTCATTTCGAAGAAAAGTACAAGTGTTTTCCGCGCATGTCATCGTCATTAAGGGACATCGCTTTCTCCCTCCTGTGTGAGTGCTAGCTTATCATTATGCTCGCTATATGCGATTTATGCTATCCAACGATGGTTTCAGATCCATCGCATATATCTCGACTGATGTGTGTTTGGTTCACATTTCATATGTTACGCGTAATCTAGAGCAATTGATTTACCTTTTGGTGCTTTTGTTCCTCGAATCATTTACAAATCAATAATATCTATCAAGTCCACCATGTCATAGATACAAAACGCATTTAATAATATGTGATTCACTAAGGGTCATTTGTTTTCATTGGAAATTGATGACAGTAATTGATAATTCTCCCGGAAAAAATTGAATCAGAAGAGAAATGGCCATGCATTACACATTCGACCATACGAGAGATTGTAATTATTTGATAAGGAATGTGATATAATTATTAGCGGCATTGGGACATGCAAATCGTGTTCAATGAACAATGAACACTGTTCGGATATGAATATTTGATCTGATTTATATACTCCGTTTCAAACAGTTTGGGCGTCGAGACCGGACATAACCCATATTTCATTGCAATCAAATTCGCTTTCATTTCGTTTTTCGTTTAGTTCAGTGTGTTCAAAAACATTTCCAGTGTTCATGAAATGAGGGAAAACCTACACAAAACCGTTCGTCTATTATCCATGCGCTTGTCCCTCTGAGTTCAATTGGTTTTGTGCATTCTGGTGTCGCTAAATCCAAAAACAGTTTTCTTTGGTCGAAAATGCGCTGTTACATAAATTATTGGAGAAATACCGATTATGAAATATCGAGAATAGTTCAACGTTGACGAGTTTCCACCAAATGAGACATCCGGAGACATGTTATAAAATATTCATGTCCATCCAATACAATGTTCAGTTTGCTAGAATATCGTTGTTTTACTCACTTACACTCTACGAAAGGTGATTAAAATTGAAGACCATTATTTGGCTATCATCCATACGTTCGGTTTAATTTAGTTTAACATTGTTTTAAATAATCACTCAAATTGACCGGTTCACAAATAAACGACAGTCGAAATTCAAATGCTGATGCATGCGGTTTGGTGTCCAAAAGCGAAAACGCCTATAATTTGTTTCGTCAATTCAAAAGATAGTGCCGTTTGAGCAATTTTTAAATTTCCAATAGAGAAAAAAGGATTTTTGTTTGGAAAAAGCAAACTTTTTGCTTGAGCATTGAAATCAATTGTTGCTTTAAGAAAGCTATTGCTAAAAAAAACCTTTGGATTCGAGATTCTGCGAAAAATAAGTTGAAGTCCAAAAGCATTTAAGTGAATCACTATGAGTGCTTGTTGTGGTGCCGATTCAAATGAAACTAGGGTCGCTCCGGAACTGGGAGAAGATGTAAGTGCACGTGAAAATGAATTGGATAATACTAGAGCATGTTCCAAAATTTGGTCCTTTAATTTAGAAAGAATTTGTACAAATCGAATGATTTTTATGTTCATTTAATCGTGTCCGAATAATTAGGAAAAAGCGCAAAGTATCCGGAGTAATATTTTAAGTCGAAATCGACAACAGACCGATGTATTATTTCTAGCTTTATTCGGCTTATTCCTCATCGGATTGGTATGTGATTGATTTAGCCAAAACCAAAATTAGACCAACAACAACAACAACAACAACACGAAAAAATGCCAAATTGACCTTTCAATTTGTTCCCACGTGTTGTCCCATTTCAGATTGGGTTATTAGGCTATTGCATGTGCTACGGTAACATATATCGCATTCTAAATGGATACGATAATTGTGGCAACATTTGTGGACGAAATAATGTATTTTCCGAGGTGAACGGTTCCAATTGCCGTGGCATGGATATGTCAAAGCACAAATATTTGCGTGTACAATCTTGGAGTTTAGATGAAGTCGACAGCGACAACATGCAAGTGAATCGCATTTGTGTTGAAAACTGCAGCAATTATTCTGGATAGTACGTAAAAAATAGACAATGAAAATCGATACGTTTCCGTTTTTGACTCGCTCAAATACATTGTCTATTTATAGTCAAACCGTTTTACATCGGTGTGTACCCGAATGGAGACCACGGCCACAGCCATTGCCCGACCAACAAGAATCACACATTTCAAAAACCGGGTTGCGCGACTTTTTCCAGGTGAGCACACATTTCAAGAGATCGATTTCAAATTCACTGAATGGGATATACCAAAGTCTACCAACCAAATGCGAAACTCGTTAAATTTCAGGAGGTAGCCGAAGATCTATACACTTCATGGAAGGAAATACTTTACATGTGTGCAATTGCTTTCGGTATTTACCTTGATCAAAAATAAACTAATTTGCTTTAAATTACTCTAATCATGGCTAATTTGTTATACTTTTCTTTTGCATGACAGTGTTCGCCGTCATAACATTGGTGATGTTCAAACTTTTGGCCGGTGTCATTATATGGATAGTGCTAGTTGGAGCGATTCTCGCATTTGCCGCCGCAACGGTTCTTTTATGGTACAATCAAGAAAATCGATTTTTCTGAATTTTCACGAAATGTATATGATTTTGTTTTAAACGACCTAAATTCTCAATTTTCCAGGATTCATTACACGGTTGAAGTTCGAGAGGCCACAAATGACACGATTGGAAAGAGACGAATCAAAACGTTTCTCATTCTGGCTATTGTTTCAACTGTGATTACGGTCATTTTGATTATAACGATTGTTCTATTGCGTAAGCGCATCAAACTTGTGATCGTTCTATTTGAAGAAGCTGGAAAAGCTGCAGCCAATATGCCATTGTTGCTGTTTGAACCAATTTTGGTAAATAACAATTTCTCTTTCTATCCAATGAAATGCTTCAAATGAAATGCCAGATTTTCATTTTTAATGCATTACGTAAATGAAAACAACGAATCTGTTACAATATTAACATTCGCTTTCAGACTTTTGGCGCAATATCACTCATGATTGCGCTATGGTTATATTTGGCAATTTGGATCGAGAGTTCCGGTAGACTGGCCGTACAGAATAATACGAATGCAGCGTTTGTTAAGGATGATACGATGAAAGTGGCAAGATGGTATAATGTAATGGCAATGTTCTGGATGATTCAATTCATAATCGGTTGTCAGCATATGGTAATTGCTGGAGCAGTTGCGATGTGGTATTTCGCAAGGTATGCGATTTGAATCGAAATTCAAATATTGTTGCGAATCAGCTTGAATTTGGAATTAATTTTGGTGCTGTCAATAATACAACATTTTCCACAGGAATAAACACGACCTGGACTCACCGATTTTAACCAGTTTCGGCTATTTGATTACGTTTCATCTGGGAACAGTGGCGTTGGGTTCACTTTTGATTGCAATTCTGCAAATGTTTCGACTCTTGCTGAAAATAGCTGATGTAATTACACATTTCAAATGGATTTTAGCATCTGGAATTTTATTTTTTGATTTCAATCTCACTTGAAATTTCAATTTTATGCTCGAAATCTTATTGATGACAAAAAAATGCACCTTCTTGAAACTCATCCACTTTCGGTGGTTGCACTTTACAAACAGAACTACACAAGGGGTAGTGCGGACCGATCAGCGCAGTGCTGTCATGCAGCATGTCAATGTTGTTTGGGTGGTTGTCAACGTTGTCTACAATATATTAGTCGAAATGCATACATTGAAACCGGTAAAGTGATATCAAAATTTAATCGGGATTCAATGTTTAATTAGAAATGTTCGATTTCCTGCAGCAATTTACGGTGATCCATTTTTCAAAGCAGGATCGAAGGCATATCATAAGCTAATGTCAAATTCATTGCGTGTTTTCACGATAAATTCTATCGGTGATTTTGTGCTATTCTTGGGTAAAGTGTTCGTTATAGCGATTACTGTATTGAGCGGAATGGAATTGCTGCGATCAAAGACAGATATTCATCATATGTGGGTACCACTTACGCTGGCGGGCATCTTTGCCTATCTTATTTCACATTGTTTCATCACCGTTTACGAGGTGAGAAAAGCATTCGTCAAGAATTTCGTTATCTTGGCGGTTGTTCGTTGTGGAGTGTGCGACTTGAAAAAACAAGTTCTCTGTTTTTATTTACATTTTATCATTAAACAAAAAGCTCACAAACAAAACGAAGAATCGTCAAATTAAATTAAAAATCAATAAAATATCTAAATTATTCTTTTTGTAGTGAATAACAGATAACATTGATTTCTTCATATATTTTAGATGATTATTGACACGATATTTTTGTGTTTCTGTGAAGATTGTGAGATGAACGATGGCTTGAGCCGGCCGTACTACATGAATAATAGGTGAATTTTTTTTAAAGAAATTTAAAGATTTAAATATAGATTAAGATTTAAATGTCGCTTTATTATTTTAATAACATTCTTATTGTAATTTCCGAACAGTCTCATGGATTTCGTACAGAACTCGAAAAAAGTCATGGGCTATAATGATTAGGTGTATACAATAAATGATTACCGGACAGTTTCATCAGTGTTAACGTTAATGTGTCAGAATAAAAGTGTTGGGAGAACATCTGTGATGAAGTGTAAAAAAAAGTGATGATATTTTGACTGGTTTCACTCGAACTAATCGGTTAATTAATAGTCAATGAATCTTAAACGAATACTTACGAACCGACTCAATGAAAAAATGTCCACGGATGTATAGCTTTAATTGGCTACATCAAACAGTAGATGAATTTTGAATTTCTTCAATGATATGATATTAATATTTTGAAATTCAACACCAAGAGATTAATGACCTTTTTGAATTTTTACGATTTACGATATTTATAAATATTTTTCGATTTTAATATTTTTATACCTACCTTTACCACGTTTTCTTCTTCGAATTTGCAATCACAATTTGCGGTTAAATACTTTAAAAAAATTCAACACACATCGCATCATATTTTTTGATAAAAGATACTCGTTATTTATTTAAAGAACATAATAATAAACTCTGCTAAACTTAATGCAACTTAGGATATCTAGTTATTTTTTTCATGTTCGGCTAAACTAAAATCTAACTAACGAAAATGATGTAAGATAGTGAAGAGTAGCGAGAAAAACACACAACTTGAGTACATCATTGAATGGTTTTTTTGTCGCAAAAAATCTTCGAATAACGTATATATGGTGGGCAAAAAAAAATCAACAGACAGAAATGGAGGCAAAGGTTTTAAGAATTTAGCGCTTGATAAATTGCTTGACGATGCTCTGCACTGATTCCGCAGAAATTCGAAAAGCAACATGGAACAACTGGAGGAGAAATGCACGTTATATTTATTGAATTAGAGAAATTTGTTAAGAATGAAACACCAACACCATTTGTTTTGTCTAAAAAAAAACACGCTCTCTACGGCAATGGGTGCATAAATATGCAAAGCAAATGAACTTTAGCTCATCAATTATCATTACAATAGTAAATCTAATTTTCATTTTGTTATTCTTTAAATGATACACAAATTTTAATTTCAACAAACGAAAGACGAAAAAAATAAATCATAGACGATGTTGATATTGCACGAATTTCTACATATAAAAGCTAAGCAATTAAAAAACGAGCATGGCGTTCTAACTAATCATAAATTTGCTCCATAAATAATATAATAGTGTTTAAATTTACACAGTACAGTATTTGCGTTTTGTTTTGACCGGGCCAACTGAATCCGGGTGTTGCCAGTTTGGGTGTCTTGCTCGACGGCAACCCGGTGCGCGCCTGATTACATTTCATTCAAATGCTAAAGCGTTTTAGCTTTCATTTTGCGTAAATATGTTGTGTCAGTGTGTTTGATTAAAATCAACATTTATTAAAGCATAATAAAGCGGTGTAAATGTGTGTAATAAATTGAAATTCAATAGAAGTAAGATGAAATTGTTGTTTCTTTTTTCTTCATAAGTCTCCTGAACAATGAATAGTGTAATGTAATTCGATGTATTTAGAGAAAAGACATGGAGAGAGAGAGAGAGAGAGAGAGAGAGAGAAAGAGAGAAAGAAATATTGTACACACAAAAGAATAAGATGATGAGATTTGATTTGAACGTATTTGAAATGAAGATTCGTATTTAGTAGAGACCCGATGGAAGATCGCTCAATTTACTGCCACTCATGCCGCTCATACCGAAAGCCAATCGATTGGTTTTCATGCCACCCGAAAAGACGATCGCGCCGTCAACGGGTGATGGTGATTTGGTTCGCATGGAGAACGTTGTGTGCAGCGCCATATCACGCAGCGCCGCAAAATTATTCGGCGCTTTTGCAATGGCATTTTTCATTTCTTGTTTTCGTTCTGATGTTGTCATGATGATGTCAATCATTGAATCCAATCCACTGCTGCCATACGACTCAAGGCGTTCAATGCTTTTGCTAACGCGTCGCGCTTCGAGTGCGGCCGTTATATCTGGCTTGGGATACTTAGCGGGTGTGCTCATTTCAGTCATAAAAAATACACCGTTAAATTTTTGCGGTGTTTGTGCCGATTTTGGGATCAGACTTTGTTCGGACGATTTCATTTTCGTATAGTGACCGGGTGTGGTCATAAAAATATTATCCTTTTCACGGGCATCCATGATGACATTAAGCAGTTCACGATTTGTACTCGTTTGATTGATCAAATCTGGATTTTGTTCACCGTCTGCAATCACATCAGTTCGATAGCCACCGCCGTGCTGTCGACTATTTTCAATTTCCATATCGATATCGTCATAGTATGAGATTCTTGTTTCATTGTTTGCCATCATAACACCATAATCGGAATCCTCATATTCCGAACCGCCCGACAATAGATGCGATAGTGAACGTGACTTTTTCGGTGGTTGAGGTAGCAAATTCACCGGCACAATTTCCTTCTCCTTGTAATCAATGCTATGGAAATGGGATTTCGGATGATACGGTGGCAATGTCTCCGATGATTTGCTGCGTTCACTTTTCAAATCTTCAATCTCTTTTTCCGCATCGTGTACAATGTTCTCCAATTCTTCGATCACCTCTTCGATTGTTGCGTTCACATCATCATCTTTAGCACCACTATTACCATTATTATTTGTGTATTCATTCATTGTGTATTTTTTCGATGTGTTTTGCGGTAAAATCAATATTGGTTCCGGGCTCAACGATTGTCCCGTCTCTGAACTACTGATACCCTCGTCTTCATGCTCGGATGAACCATTTTTATTTATGTGCGGCAAAACCTGTCGTGGCAATGCAACTGGATGCTTTTCAAGACTCTTGTAACCATCATTGTGTTGGGCACCCTGCAATCGGAACACTTCACGTTGCAATTCGGCGCATCGCTCTTGCAAACGACGTTCCATCGTTGTTAAAACCGTTTTCTCTTCTTGTAATATCTGCAGCGTCGAACGAAATGGAAAAATCCACAACGGAACCAAGCAAAAACATGAAAAACGAAAAGAGTGTGGAAGAGAAAAAAAAAACATTTTAAGCCATTATTCATGCGACTATTTTTAGTTGATGCACAATTTAAAATGAAAAAAAAAAAACACATTTTCTAAATCAGTATACTCACTTGAACTCGTCGCTCGAGCACTGCCATTTGACCGCGAATCTTATCGCCCTCTCGATTTTGAACCATCAATTTATCTATGTCAATGTTGATGTCTTCGAAATATTTAATCTCTGCACGCAATTTATCATACCATGGCGAACTCGTCGAGATTAACTGCACCGATTACCGATGAAACGAGAATTAAAATGAGACGGGGGAAGAAAAAAAGAGAAGAAAACCAGCAATTTTAAGTTGAGCCGTATACATATGTGTGTCCGAGTCAGCGAGAGCGCACGCGCATTCACGCAATTCAAATCAAATAGACAAACAAAATGCGCGCGCACCAACAAAGGAATAACAATAATAATGATAATGCAAGAGTGAAGAAAAAATCGCATAAAATGCGACAGTGAAATAAAATATTCAATATGCGCGCACCTTTGACATATTCAGTGGATCAAAACCGGCTTGTTGCAGCTCAGCCTGTAAATATAATCGGCTTTGTACGCTGTCTGCACTTTCCAAAAACGTATTGATAAATTTCAATCCATAATACTGGAGTTCACCTGTGCCACCGCCACTGTTGAGCATGCCGGCTAAGAGACGAAAACGAACCGGTTCACCGCATCGCAAGCGCAACGTTGATAATGCCTCCGACACCGATGTATGGCCATTGTAAACACCCTTTTGTGAGCTATGAACTCCGGCTGCATGCTTATCACAGGCCGTTGTAAGAAGTTGCAGCGCAAGAATCCGCGAACGAATACCTTGACCCGTTGCACTTGCCGCCAGAGGCATTAAACCGATCGGTGATGTGCCGATTCGAATGCGCGCTTCTGGACTTCGCAAACAGCATAAATTCAAGCATTGCCTGCCAAATAGAACAACAACAACAACAAAAAACCAAAATAACATTAAAATCAAAACAATACCCAACCACACCACCATTGATGATGCTAATCTCTGAGTCTGTACTCTTTTTTTTATATTATTCTGTATCTCCTCTGCCTTAATTTCAATACAAAAGAATTGGAATATAATAAAATATCATTTATCGGATTATATATATACGACGTGTATACGTACAAGCAAGCCAATTCATCGAGAAGGGCTCGACGTTGATATGTTTGTGCATTCATTTTGCCCGTTGTATTCGTTTGGCCGATGCCATTCTGTTGGCTCAATTGAATCGATCGCAACACCTCAAGCAGCAACGAGACACCGTCCAGTGGAGCCGCTACGAATTCCTGTACAAAACTGTCAAACCAAATATAGCAAAAACGATATACGATTGTGATTAATTCGCTTGAAATTGTTCGCATAGGCATAGAAAAAAAAGAAAATGAGAAAAAATGCAGAAGGAAAAAAAAATGAGGCGCAGCATTAGGTTGATTTGACATTGAAGTTTTATCCACATTCGTTTTCCAAGTGATTATACGATACGTGCGCGGCAAATCGGTTTTTATGTGTGCAAAAGGTCTTAATCCGTGTGAGCCACGACCGACTGGGTCGAGAGATTCAAGAGTTTTTGAGAGACACAGGGAGAGACAATAAGTGTCAAATCTAGATTAAAATTTATTGGTTTAGCACACCAGTTACGTATTATATGTGTGCACAGGCATCCACACAACCAGATTGGTCGGTGGAAGGCATGGGTAATAAATCTTTGCCTCAATTCGAAATACAATATAATAATAACAACATCCAATCAATTTCGCCTTTTACGGTCGCGCGAGCGCGTTATAATTTTATATAATGATCGATGTTTAGGAAAAAGCGTTTCGAATTCCATAATTTATAATAATATGCAAAGCATCCACCACCCGAGAGATTGTGAGGTGAAGCAAAATTGAACTACAATGCTTGCGCTTCGTTGTAGTCGTCGTCGTCACCGTTGTCGTGGTCGTACAAAAACCAGCGCCAAGAAATGCAAATTGCGCGCTTTGACCTAGAAATGGCAAACCATTCGTTCGTCAGGCGTTTTATTAATAATTTTGTTGTGTTTTTTTATTATTATATTATTATAGATGAATCGATTACCAATTCTCGTTTCAATTTTTTTTTCCTTCTTTCATTCGCTTCGAAATGCTAAATTAATATGGCATTTGACTTTATGATTGATCATTTTTCTGCGTTTGAAATGGATTCGGTGCCAATTGAGGCGTAACATGAATGATTTTGCGTTGATAGTGTAGAAGAGAAAAAAAACGCAACAACAACAACAACAATAGGCTTACCTTGGAAACGATGCACGTAGATCAGCACGCAATTTCGTTAATAAATCTGTAATTGAACCGAATTGCTTCAAAGACATCTCACATTCTTCGTCGGGAAGCGGCTGAATTGGATTCCTAATTCAGATATAACATTGATTCATTAGGGTAATTTGTGATTTCATCTTCTATTTTCTCTCAATTTCATTCCGTACAATCATTTCGCATTTATTTGTGTTTGATTGAAGGAGAGAAATCGCAGAAATTGTCGCTGTAATTGAACTCACTTGAATGCTGAATGCTTGGCCGGCAATGTGGCAGCTCTTGAATTTGGCTTCTCTTCGGATGTATCGTAAATGGATTTTGGTTCGCCATTTGTTGTTCCGCTGGTGCGTCTTCCGAATTTCTTCAGCGAAACGATATAATCTTCAGCATTGTAAACGGGCGGTCGTTGATTTTCCTACACAAAAGCAGAGAAGACAAACATAAAACAAGTTGCGATTAACAACACAATGTGAAATATATCGGAAATTGCTTGATTGTTAATGTGATTTAACTGATAGCATTTTGTCGAACCATTGTCGCGCGTGCGCGCGCCTTATTTTTTTCGCTTCGTTGAAAACGAAAGTCGGTTTCCTTCTAAATCACTCATTTGCTGAAATTGACACCGTTTCAACACAGTGAAGTATGAGAATTTTGCATGTCCGTCCGTCCGTCCATTTTTGCCCGTCCGTCCATCCGTTCAGAACCTTCTGAATTTAGTTGTCCATCCGTCCGTCCGTTCAGAACCCTGTTAATTTAGTTGTCCGTCCAGGGCTCTTGAAAATTTTTTTGTCCGTCCGTCCGTCCGTTCAGACCCGCTAAAAATTTTCTTGTCCGTCCGTCCGTCCGTTCAGAGCCCCCAAAAATTTTTCTCGTCTGTCCGTCCGTCCGTTCAGGACCCTCAGAAATTTTCTTGTCCGTCCGTCCGTCCGACCGGAGCTGAACGGACGGACGGACGGACAAGAAAATTTTTAGCGGCTCTGAACGGACGGACGGACGGACAAAAAAAGTTTCAAGAGCCCTGGACGGACGGACGGACGGACAAGGTGCCTATCCGTTGACACCTTTACGTATAGATGCCGTTAGAGCATTCATCGCTGAATATTTTCCATTTGCAGCGCAGTTTGTTGCACCGTTTATTCAATGTAATACAATGAACGAACTAGAATTGGTTTCGTTTGCATATACATACATATGCGGATGGTTGTTTTTTTGTGTGTTTCGCATAAATCACCAACAAAATGTGATCATTGTTGGAATGCGTGTACGAGTAGAAAAAAAATCCAGCAACAACACAGCGATCGTACTTTAACACTCTTTTCAATTATATAATGTAATTATACGTTCGCTGCGACGTCCATGAAAGTCATTTACATGCGTTTATATCATTTTGTTGTTGTTGTTGCTGTTGTTGCTATTTATCAACAATATTTGCATATTGTTTTCCGTTTTGACCGAAAAAACAGGAAATATTTTCTTGGAGAAATTTGTTTAACTTTTCGTTTTTTTCAAGCCATTTTATGCAAATGGAATTACTTTGTTTTGTTTCGTTTAATTTTTTGGGAATTTGTGTGCGGGCGCACGGGCAACTAATCTTCATTTCAACTCAGAAATGCCTTTCATCGAACAATGTCACGATCTGTGGCTTTTCAAAAACATTGAGATCAGTGGACTTTTAACGGATCATTCACGATATGATTCTGTGTGGTAATTAAGAAGTAACTGCACTTGTTCCTAGGTGATAACAACACCTCGGTTCTCAAAGAAGAGGAAAAAGAAGCAACAGCAGCAGCAGAAAAAAACAAGAAGCGCAATGACCGAAAGATCACAAAAATTACACACTTGCCGTTGTTGATCGCAGTGACCACCATTAACGGTGGTTTTCTGCACTGAAACGTGCATTTAAATCGTTTACCGCTTGAATTTGCCATTGCATGTATAATTTACACGTTTATTGTGTTGCTGGGTTCAGGTTCATGTTGGCAATAATATGTTGTGTGTGGCGGTGTGTGCAACATTTTTCATTGCAAATTGGCCTGGCATTTTGCATTTCATAGATTTGCAGACTGCAATCGCATAAAAGCATCAACACTCACATTTCGGCCAACGTTTTTTTCGAGAGCAATAATGGCAACGAAAACGACAAATAATGCAAAAAACTGGGCATGAGTAGCAAAACCAAAACAAGAAGAAAAAAACACTTCGATGCGCACAATATTTTTCAATGAAAACCACATTTTTTTCAAATTCAATTTTTTCCGTTTGAAATTCGAATCAAGCGTTTCGAATATCATTCGGATGTAATGATTAATGCTTCGTTTTTTGCTGCTTCTATTGTTGTTATTGTTGTTGAACAAATTTTTTTTGTTGCTCGAAATTCATTCAGAGTTTTCCGATATTAATTGCTTGCTTTCGATTTTTCTTCGCACTATTTGTTACATGAAGCGTTCAGTGAAAATTCAATCTCATTTGAATGGTTTTTTTTTTCCACCGCCAATATTCTTCTTCTCTATCTTCGTTTATTTCTCTTGCGCCTGCTTTTTCATTGTTTGCAAAAGCATTTCGTCTTTTTCTTACTTCTGTCCGCTTGGATTCCATGTGAGCTGCTCAATTAATTCATAGCACTGCGATTGCTAAATTAAATCCCCCAAAGAGATCAAATGTGATCAATAACAATAATAATGATGTTTGCGGCTTGTTAGCACATATCGATCGGTTTCAATTGAAAAATGTAACTGCGGAACGCACAAATCAATTAAACATGAAATGAATCGGTGTGTATCATTTTAATGTAGCCACATTTTGTAGCTCGTATGATCATGATGGATATCATACGGTAGAAGCTATGATTTTTTTTTGTTATATTGACATTCCAGTGGTGATAAAGACTATTTCGGTCGGGTTTTTGTTTTTCAAATATTTTCGGTTTCATTTTGTTTGATAGACCAAATTTTGAGGTGCGAATTTTCTATAGACAAATTTTTGTTTCATGTTTTTGAACGCATATGATTTCGAAGGATTGAATTCCACGTCAAACCAATACTCATTCAATCAGAAGAATATTATATTCTGAGAATTTTTCCACTTTAATTTTTTTTTTCATTCTAGGAATTTTTCTCATCGATACCCCATCTACGATTTCTGATGTGCAATGTCATTCAAATCAAAATCGCATCAGTTCTCGGTCAAATTAATTGAAAATGAACGAATCCAAGTCATTTTGACACAGATATTTCTGTGCGATGTTTTTCTTTATTTGTTTCATTTTTGTTTTATTCTACGCTTCGATTGATATATAAATCATTGAGCGCGTGTACAATCGAGTAGATATATACGTATTAGCGATGTTCGTGCAAGCACTCAACCACAATCAAGTTCAACCTAGTGCTGTTGTTTTTCTGTTTTTTCTTCTTCTTCTTTTCATCTCTTGTTTTTTTTCTCTGTCTATTTTTGCGATAATCAGCGTCTAACACAGTTCTGTTGCTGGTGTTGCTTTTTTCATTTTGTTTTGTATTTTTACATTTTTTTTTTTTGAAGACGTGTGAAAATCAAAAACGTTTGGCTTTGGCTACGACCGCAACCAACGCTATCGCATATCAATGACGAGAACACTATAGTGATAGCTTTGAAACCAAATTGATAGATTTTAATTTGCAGCAAATGTTTTCATGAGCGCGCGCGCGCATGCACATTGCACACACACATACATCGAATGCTGGTCCAAAAGAGATGTAATTTATTATTATGATGATACCTTTGGTGGAGCATTTGTTGGCCAACCCACTAATATTTCGGTGGAGATTTTCTGCGAACCAGAACTGGTTTGTGTGCCCATCGGCGATTTTCCCGTGCTCGGTGCCATTTGATATCCGATGAATGAAATTTCACTGCAAAGAAACCAAGATAGAATTTTGATATTATTATTTGGGTTGTTTTTCAATTGGACTGTGAATTTTAAATTTATTCTAATTCATGTGAATCGCATCGTCAATTTATCTAATCGAAATGCAAATCGTGAAATCAAAGTAATTTTCGCTAATTTGTTTAACTAAGAGAATGCCTACAATTTGACCACTTTGACTCATCCAGAGTCATGAGAGAAAATATCAACCGCAGAGAGAGAGAGAGAGAGAGGCGCACATTTGACCAAGTTGTTCGAATGCTTTTTTTTCTCATGTTCTAAATCTCAACCATGAATCCCGGTCAATTGTGTGCTGGCCAATTTGAAGAGAAGCGCGCGCGTTTGCAACCGCGCTCACCTCTTATATCAACATTACAAAACATAAACTCATGAAATATTGTTGTTATTTCGCTTTTGTTATGGCTCTTTTTTTATTATATCTCTTCAAATTTGTGATCTAGAGAGAAATTTTTCGCTGCAAGACTAGAATACAGCGAAGGCATGCAAAAAAGCAGCACACAGACGAAAGATAATTTTATTAGCTCTGAATAAATAAATGTTTCGTTTTCCGTTCATTATTTTCGTTGTTTCTTTTCAGAGGGCTTTTTTGTGTGTGTGTATAATGTTATATTGTTTTTATTGCTGGAGTGCGTTCCACATCTGAATTGGAAAATCGAAAGTCTATATTGAATGGACAAAAGATTTGTTTCGGCAAGCAAACGCGCTTCCAAACATCTGATTTCGATGTGAATGCTGAAAAGAAAACGAGTAACAATAAGACTGTTTCTAACAACAACTTATTAGAGATTCGTTGTCATTGCCGTTATATTTTCGCTGCTTAGTTTGAAATATTCTTTATTGTGTGTTGGGCCGATTGAACATACACAAAATCTGCACGAGATTGAGCAAGATAGAAGCAATCATTTTGGACAATGGTTGTTTTGTGTGCCGATGTTGTACAATCGTCATCACAACAAACACATTTGCCATTCTATTTGAATTTGCTGTGCTTTAATTTTCCTCTCTCATTCAAACTCCACACAATTGCAATTTTATTGCTTCGGGCCTTTTCATTATTCTTTTCTCGCTATGAGGAAAAGTAGATGTTTTCTCGTTTGAAGATGAATCTTGCGGTATCATCAAAATGATGGTGTTTTAGTTGTGAATATTCTTTGTGTGCGGAAAGCATTTTTGTTTGAATTCAGAGAATGGCTGAAATTATAGTGATTCGTTGTCGACATAATCACTCGGCTTTTTTTCTCATTTCCGGATTTTGGTGACTCTATTTCGACCGCAAAGAAGACAACGGTGAAGTTGAAGAAAAAAAAAGAAGAAATAATTGCAGCCTTTGTCGGCATTTGAAATTGGATTTAAAGTGAAACTGCGTTGAAATTCACAGATTTGCCAAGATAAATCTTAGAAAATGGCGCTTTTCACTGTTTTAATTTCAGATTTAAATCATAATTCGTGAGCATTAATTATATTTTGATGGTTTTAAAATGGAAAATAGTGGTTGGAAGCTCGCGCGTCGGCCGACTAAAGATCTTTTGAATTGTTTAATTAAAACGTTGAGGCAAATTGCACAAAAGAGCTAATTTCAGGTGTCAAAATATATAATTAAATGACCGTTCAGCGGTACAAAGATATGGGCAACAACAAAAGAATTTCCATATTTTTCCTTTTATTCGTCTCCTGAAGTGCCATTCATTCATTAAAAAGTTTCAAAATGAATTGTGATCATAATCGTTCGGATGAATTCGGATTCAAAATCAATCTTAGGGTAAACAGCATCAGAAGAAGGGAAAATATGGTCTAAGAATCGGTTGAATTTTTCATCTGTGGTTCAATTCAGATTGAGTGAAAGAAGAGTCTTTACTACCGTCGCCGCTAAGGCAAAGGTAGCGAAAGTGAATCTCGTACGACACGAGATCGTGCCACGAATTCAATTTCCATCTGACAAGCGTTTCCATTAATTTCCAGAGTCTCAAAGCCGATAATAATCGTGAAACTCCTTTTGTTTACATTGCTTGTATGAAGTAAGACCGGGTGAAGTGTCGATCGGATTAAGAGTCACACACAGTCGCTTCTGTTTTGCACTCTGCGTAGCCGCGCACAAGCCACCAATCCGATAAAATTCGCTGAATCATTTGAAAAATTACTCTCTGCACTCTCAATTTTAATTAGCAAAACTGTTTATTAAATTTATTGTTTGAGAGCGGCAAGTGCGCCAGACACGATCCGAATTGTATTGCGTTCAACAATTTTAATGCCGACTTGGTGAAGTAAACAACAACAACAACAACAACAACAGCGAAATAAAAATACTCTAACACATTTTCCAAACGTTACAACTGCGATCGAAATGTGCGCAATTTTCTTTTCGTTTCGATAAATAATGAAAGCGGTTTGGCTAAGTGAGTGAATGCTGCTGGGTGATTTTCACGTGCCGGTTCAATTGTTGCTTGCCGCGCTTCATCAGAGTTCGGCGCGTATGGGTATGTGATTAGCAGTTGTCAGGCGGTGACGGCGACCTGGAAGCCACAACAACACTCAACATGAAAAACGATAGTGAAATATTTGGTGTACGTACGCGTTGGGTGCGGTAACAGTTGAAAATGAAATCAAACCACCTGAAGTTGAGTCGCACAAGCTTGACATGGCTTTAAACATCACATTGAAAGAAATAATAAAAGAAAACCGTCTCAATTGCTCGCAATGTTAATATTTTACGTGCAACTCACACACGTACCCGCAATAAAAATAAGAGTATTCGTTTTCGTTTTCGACGGAACGAAATGAACGAAGAAACAAAATTGTAATACAAAGTAAATAATAATACGCTTTGGCAGTGCAGTCAAAAGGGATATGTCGGTACAGTTAATTAAAATAGTTCATATTTATTTAGCTGCCTTTTTCTCGCTCTCTATCTCTTTCTTTCTAATAACTTGTTCTTAAGTCATTAACCCGACAAAAATAATTACAATGGAAATACGAAATGGAATGAAAAGTGAAAGAAGAAAAAATCGACGGCTTAAACAAAACAAATGAAATGCACACACAAAAGACACACAGTCGTCGTAATAGCAGCTAGCTAGCAAGCAAACAGGCAACGTATTGAGCAACAAGTTGATCGATTTACACCTCTTAGTGAAGAAAATTAGAAAGAATTTAAATGATATGCCAGGTATTTCTCTTTCTTTTCTTTTCTTTTCCGAAGCGCTTAAGTGTTTCTTTTCCCAGAGCAATCGCTCTCGCGCATAATTTCCACACGCACTCTTGCAGCGATGGGAGGGTGAGCGCAAGCACACTCGCAATCGCTCGCAAACACCGATCATTCGTTTGTGAATTGATCGAAGAATCTATTAAAGATCGATAGGAAAGGAATTTTGTGGCGTGTTCTGAAGAAAAACATAGAGAGAGAGAGAGAGAGAGAAACGTTCCGTTCGATTGTAACCGGTCCAGGATGGTTGACAATTAGAATATTCCGCTGTTCGATCGATCGATCGATTGTTCGTGCTGACAATTATTGATCCCGTTCGCGGGAAGTACATCATCATTCATAATTATCGCACATCACCGATTCGGCATAGCAAAGTGTCTCTTGTGCGCACATTCAAACCCATTTCAACAAAAACACCATTTTCAACCGTTGCCAAGCGCGATTGCGCTGAGGATTTGTGTGTGTGTGTGTGTGTGCGTACGTGATTAGTTGAAAAGTGTTCGTTACATGTGCACTAAAGCGCTGAAGGTTATTGAACGTCAAACATAAAGGTTCTATGCATTTCTTGATCATCCAATGTTTCCCATTTCAACGATGAATGCCTTGCAAACACGCAAACAATCCTGCAAAACGAACATTATTTCTGTGCTCTTTTTTTTTGTTCAAGCAACCGACGACAACCGGCGACTGAGTGAGGTGTGCTGAGCGAAAGAGCAAACGAGACACAAGAAGAGAAAAAATACAACAACAAAATTGATCCAATTACTTTCTAGAAAAAAAAAGGAAAAACAAAAAACAAACGCAAGAACTTAAAAAAACAATTCGCATCGTTGTAATAGAATTATTTCTGAATCGCATGAACGACCAGATTGGATCGCTATCATTTGACCGTACATAAAAAGTTACAACAAAATTGTAGCATTTTAAGCAGAGAAACAGAAAAAAGCGACATATAGCAGAGTCACCATTTGACCATTTCAATTCCATTTTCAAAATCAAGAAAATCTGGAAATCATGATAAATGTCTACAAATGGTTGAATCAACGAAAGAGAAAAAAAACACATACACAATACACAATACACACACACAGTGGCCACTTTAAAACTGAAACGGTTCTAATTTGTGAAAACAAGAACAACACATATGTTCGAGAGTGTGAAAAAAAAATCAACACTGAAATGAATGGAATAATTAGCTAAAAAAACCGGAGAGACAAAGAAAACAAAATTTTATTTTCGTGTTTGTCGCAACGGGCTCAAATTCACTGTCAAAAGAATGCGATTTTGACCAAAAACAATAGAATTGGTGAAATTCACACACACACACACACACACACACACACACACACACGAAATGAAAAGAAGAGACACGGTAAAAAGAGGGAAAGTTTTAATTCTCTCTAGCATGGACGAGAAATTCAGAAACAGAAGAAAGAAAAGAAAAACAGTGATGTTTTCGTGTTTGTCTGCCGTTGATTTGCTTCTTAATTCATTTTCCAGACATTGATTCTTTTGGTTTGATGCTTAGTCAAGCGGTGTACGCTGTTGTTGTGAACGCAAAAATGCAAACACATGTTAAGTGGATGAAACACGAAAAATCCGTCGAAAACAAACTCACTCACACACACCGACTCATCAGTTGATGGATTTGGCAAAAGAGTTTTGTCTTTTGCAAAAACAACAACATAAAAAAAACGATCAACAAGGGCAACAAAAACGCACCACGAAAACAAACGATATACACAAATATGAAGAGAGAGAGAAAG